CCGTTCTCTGTCAGTTTTCTCACTCCATTTGGTGCTTGGCTGAGTTCTTTATCTCTTCATTTGATGTTTTAGGGTTTCAGGATTGTTGTATTCTCTGTTTGACTTAGTTTTTCGGATCTTTGCCTTGGAGGGATGGCGTGGTGCTTCTGCCTAGAGCGCCATTTTGTCAGAACCTCCCAGAAGTATGACTTTTTAATTGTCTTTATTTGGAGATTACGTATGGTTTAATGAGGTGTGTATAGGAGCCAAGTTGACAAGGGGTAGACTGTGATGGTTAATTTTGTGTCAACTTGCCTAGGTTTTAGTGTCCATTTGTTTGGTCAAACACTAGTATAGGTATTGCTATGAAAGTGTTTACATATGATTAGCCATCAGATTGGGGACTTTCCATAGCTGGACCCGAGTCCTCTGCCCCTCTGCATACTCTGCCAACACACCCCACTCTAAGGCCAGGAAAGGAAAGGATTTTCCTAAGCCATCATAATTTTATTCTTTCCCCCACACCCTGCTCACACACACACACACATATGCAACATCCAGGAGCTACACCTGGTTCTTGTCCAAGCCCTGCTTTTTACTTGACTTGGCCCGATTCCCTTCTATTCCTTGCAGATAAGACAATGAGCTGGAAGTAGGAGGAGTTGGGAGCAGAGGTGAGGGTGGATAAGGATAGGATAGAAAGGGAAGGAGAGAAAATAATGGTACAAATACAATGTTTTGAGTGCTTTCTGTGTGCCAGTTAAAGTCCAGTTCTATAATACCATCTCTTATATACAGATGAAGAGACTGAGTGTCAGAGAGAGAACATGCAGAAGGTCAGGTAGCTATTATAGTAAAGTGAGATAGCTGGGATTTGAACCCAGTATACGTGAGGCCAAAGCCACCCTCTACTCCCCTTTAGTGCCTTTCCAAGAGGGACAGTAGGGGACCCAAAGACACCTAGGTTTTGAGTGCTTCCAGAGGCCTGGAAAAGACAGCTATTCTTGAGTGGAGCCCTATGGCAGGTGAGGTTCTAGCCCCGCCCCTTGTGATCCAACAGAGGCCCTAGAGACCAGACCAAGTTCTTTGGGTCCTGGGGACTCCCTCACATCCCAGTTCCTGATCAGGGAAAGAGGGCAACAAAGCCTTGTGAAGAATGGATAAGCATGGTGAGTGGGACTGGAGGCAGGGAGAGTGCAAGGACAGGGCCTCTTGACTCCAGCTTCGGTTAACCAACCCATCATCATGGCAACCCCAGAGTAGAAGTCCAGCCTTTTCTAAGTTACCCATCCATGTAGCTATAAGCCCTCTCCCTGAATATTCTTTTTTTTTTTTTTAAATTCAGCTTTAGGTGAAAGTTTACAGCTCAAGTTAATTTCTCGTACAAAAACTTGTACACGTTGTTATGTGACATTAGTTGCAGTCCCTACAATGTGACAGCACACTCCCTCTTTCCATCCCAGGTTTCTTGTGTCCATTCAACCAGTTCCTGTCCCTTCCTGCATTCTTATCCTGGCTCTGGACAGGAGCCACCCATTTGGTCTCATGTATCTGATTGAACTAAGAAGCACACTCCTCACGAGTATTATTTTATGTTTTATAGTCCAGTTTAATCTTTATCTGAAGAGTGGGCTTTGGGAATGGTTTTAGTTCTGGGTTAACAGAGTATTCGGGGGCCATAGTTTCGGGAGTTCCTCCAGTCTCTGTCAGATCATTAAGTCTGCTCTTTTTACGTGAATTTGAGTTCCGCTCAACACTATTCTCCTGCTCCATCCGGAACTGTCTGTTGTGTTCCCTGTCAGGTTGGTCATTGGTGGTAGCCGGGCACCATCTAGTTCTTCTGGTCTCGGGCTGATGGAGTCTCTGGTTTTTGTCTTTTAGGCTAGTATTTTCCTTGTGTCTTTGGTGTTCTTCATTCTCCTTTACTCCAAGTGGGTTGGGACCAAATGATGCATCTTAGATGGCTGCTCGCAAGCTTTTAAGACCCCAGATGCCACTCACCAAAGTGGGATGCAGAACATTTTCTTAATAAACTTTGTTATGCCAGTTGACCTAGATGTCCCCAGAAAACTATGGTCCCCAGGCCCTAGCCCCAGCTACTCTGTCCCTCAAAGTGGTTGTGTTCAGGAAACTTCTTTTGGTTTAGTCCAGTTGTGCTGACTTCCCCTGTATTGTGTGATGTCCTTCCCTTCACAGAAGATGATTCGTGTCTACTATCTAGTGAATTCCCCTCTCCCTCCCTCCCCACCCTCATAACCATCAAAGAATGCTTTATTCTGTGTTTAAACCTTTTCTTGATTTCTTATAATAGTAGTCTCATACAATATTTGTCCTTTTGTGACTGACTAATTTCACTCAGTATAATGCCCTCCAGATTCATCCATGTTGTGAGATGTTTCCCATATTCATCATTGTTCTTTATCATTGTGTAGTATTCCAGTGTGTGCATGTACTATAATTTGTTTATCCATTCTTCTGTTGATGGGCACCTAGGTTTTTTCCATCTTTTTGCTATTGTGAACAGTACTGCAGTGAACATGAGGTGTGCATATATCTATTCATGTGACGGCTGTTATTTCTCTAGGATATATTCCAAGGAGTGGGATTGCTGGATCATGTGATACTTCTATTTCTAGCTTTTAAAGGAAGCACCAAATCGTTTTCCAAAGTGGTCGTACCATTTTACATTCCCAGCAGCAGTGCATAAGTGTTCCAGTCTCTCCACAACCTCTCCAACATTTATTATGTTGTGTTTTTTGGATTAGTGCCAGCTTTGTTGGGGTGAGATGGTATCTCATTGTAGTCTTGATTTCCATTTCTCTAACAGCTAATGATCATGAGCATTTCCTCACGTATCTGTTAGCCTCCTGAATGTCTTCTTTGGTGAAGTGTCTGCTCAGATCCTTTGCCCATTTTTTATTTGGATTGTTTGTCTTTGTGGTTGAGGTTTTGCAGTATCTTGTAGATTTTAGCGATTAGATGCTGATCGGATTTGTTGTAGCTAAAAATTTTTTTCCTAGTCTGTAGGTTGTCTTTGTACTCTTTTAGTGAAGTCTTTTGATGAACAGAAGTGTTTGATTTTTAGGAGCTCCCAGTTATCTGGTTTCTCTTCTGGTATTTGTGCATTGTTAGTAATGTTTTGTGTTCTATTTATGCCATGTATTAGGGTTCCTAGTGTTGTCCCTATTTTTTGTTCCATGATCTTTATTGTTTTAGATTTTATATTTAGGTCTTTGATACATTTTGAGTTAGTTTTCGTGCACGGTGTGAGGTATGGATCTTGTTTAGTTTTTTTGCAGATGAATATCCAGTTATGCCAGCACCAGTTGTTAAAGAGACTGTCTTTTCCCCATTTAATAGACTTTGGGCCTTTGTCAAATATCAGCTGCTCATAGGTGGATGAATTTATGTCTGGATTCTCAATTCTGT